CATGGCAGTAAGCAAAGCCTTTTTCTTAATGGACAATACGTAAGAGTTTAGTGTTCGGAAAATCATTGTTTGGCTGTTTTTTCTCCATTTTTATTCTGGCAGTCTTGGGTAGCTGAAAATGTCTTTGCAATTAAATGCCCGTAGATAGTGTTTCTTCTTTCTATCAAATGCATATTTTAATATTTCAGAATTAATATGAATTTAATTTTTTTTGGCAAGTTTTGTTTCATCTAATACATTGAAAGTTTCTGTATTAGAGTATTTCAGTATTAAATTGAAAAAATTTAAATGCCCTGATATTAAAAAAAATACAATAAAAAAACAGGTGCTGCAACTTAAAACTAAAACAAAGAAAAAGAGCCCTGCAGTATCCCAGCCTGAACCCCGGTCATTAGGAAAGCAGACTGTTGAGAATTTCAAGTTTTGTTCCTGGTTCTATAATGAACATGTTTTTACCGGAGCAGTGACGTAATGCATGTCCCATTTTCAGCTTCCAAAATAGGATTGATACTCTTATGCCTGTTTTTTTCTTTCTCTGAATTGGAAGCAACATTCTCTTTCAAAATGCTTTTTGATTCTGTTTTTCGTTTTGTTTTGTTTGTTTTTTTTTAACCCACCTACAGAAATGATAAATATGGTGTACAAAATCAGAAGATAGACTATTTAGTAAAACCTGGGACTGCTTACTAGAAGTAACATCTGATTGAGTTTGAAAAAGACAATCTGTAATGTTGGTTTTGTATAAAAATTACTTCCTGTTCTTTGCATACTGTGTTACCAGCAAGTTATATTTTTTGTAAGGGAATATTTAAAATTCTTAAGTGTAGAATTCAGAAATAAGGTAAAAATATTTTTTGTTTCAAGTGTTTTGTTTTTGAGTGACCACAGTGTTTCCTTAGGTACGAATGCCTTGTATATTCTTATCTCAATAAATAGAATTTGATGCCAAACAATGAGACTGTCTAAATACACTTTTCTGGAACTCTGAGATGATATGATGCAGTATATCTTCTTTCTCTTGTGTTTGTTTCCCAGATGGTTTAACGTCTTGAGAAAGTGTATAGTGTTTTTGTACTCACGAGATACAGCAGTAGGTAGCAGTTTGAAATAAATAACTTTGCAAAGTTTTCTGGAAATTAATTTTAAAAATGCAGATCACTGTACTGGTGAGCATACTTTTGGCATAGAACCTTTATTTATCTTTTCTTAGGGACTTCAGTGGATCTCCAAAGTTTACTCTGGTAGATGTTGTTAACAATATTCACGTCTTTGATAGCTGCAGGTATACGTTGCTGTCGAGTTGAATACAAATAGTTGTTACCTCTATTTGATGGAGCCGCTGATGTAACTTTTTCAAAGTACTCGCACAGTGGTAGATTATTTCTAACTTTAAAACTGATTAAATGTGGTCATCATCACTTCTTTAAACTTAATATATCACAGTTCCCCTGATGACAAATCAGAGCAGTATAAATTTCTTTGGGGCTTTCCTGGAAGACCTTGCATTGGGCTTGACTGTATGTGTAGCTAAAAAAGTCATTAGCGTATGAAGGGAAAGCTTGTTTCTGCTTGCAGTGGCAAGAGTAAATACGTTGTTGATAGTCATTGGTCATACTGGAGCTAATATTTGTGCTGCAGTTGTAGAATATGTTTCATACTTTCTTGTTTTTGTTGAACTTTATGTACTAGAAGTTAACCCCCAAAATTTAGTGTTACAGACTCTTTGTCTTCTGTTCTTATGTTGTATTTCATTTAGGTAGAAAGAAAACTAGTGACTGTATGTAAGTCTGTATATAGTCTTAAATTTTTTTCCTAGTGCAATTAATCTTGCTTTCCATGTAGTTGAATTCATTGTTAACAAAATAGGTAGAATGGAGGAAGGTAAAAGTGGAGAAACATTTTCAGGCAATTTTTCAGTTAGAGAGCTCGTACATGTAGCTTGTCGGAACTGCAGATATAAAATCTTAAGATGAAGTGTGTGGTTTAAATTAATAGCTTTATAAATACTTGTTGAAGCTTTTGGTTTACTGTAGCTTAATTTCGCATTTAATTTTATTTTCTGGTCAACCGGTTCCTCTGGTAACTTGTAGCTGCAGTAGTATACAGTAGCGTGGTCTGTTAGGAACCAACCTAAACTGTGGTATGTGGAGGTTTAAATACATCAGTATGTTAACGTTTGTCATCTTCTCCTAAGAAATACCATTGAGAGGTTTGGATATCACCAGTTCTATAAAAGCTGAATAAAGCTTTTATAAAATTTATAAAAATACCAGGCTCATTTTTTGCTTTGAAAACTCTTTGAAAACAATATTAATTGCAAGCAAAATAATTTTGAGTTAGTACATGAGATACAAGAAAAGTGTCTTTTTACTGCTCAAATGAAAAAAGAAAAAAGTAAAAAAAGTTTCTGACTGCTTTTCAAGCTTTTGACTAATTTACTTAACTTGGGTAAGAAAACTCAGCTTAGAGGAAATTTTCAGCTTGGCAGGACTTTTCTTTAACCTTCAACCCATTGCTTAATTGACATTTACTTACTACCTCTCAGATTCTTTACTTTTAGTGGCTAAGTAGTGATGGTGTTGAATGTTGGCCTCTGTGAGAGCTTAAAATCCTTATTGTCTTTACATATCTGGAGTTCTAGGTTAAATGCCTGCCTTGTTTATTCAGTGTTGAAAATCACCGATGTGCTTCAGGTGACTGTCATTTACTGCAGTGTAACATATATGCACTTCATATAGTATGTTTTCTAAATCACTTTCCAGAACCGCGGTAGGAAACGGTTATATGAACAGTTAAGCCCTTGTCATGGAGGGACTGATAATCTTCAGTGAGGGGGGAGGAGAAAAGGTAGAAATAGGCAGCTGGAGTCAATAACTGCTCAAACTCTGTGCTACAGCCGGAGTAGCTCATGGGGCTGTGCTCTAAAATCACGTCAATAAAAGGTTCCTGCTTTTGTTGTCTTTACATGAGCAATGGTTGGCTGCTTTTTTTTATAGTCAAGTATAGAAAAACAGTCAATAGTTTAGTATAGAAAAACAAGACATTCGTTACTAAAAATAGTTTTTCACACTAGGAAGTGTTTTGGTGCCTCTCTTGCTATCCAAAATATTTCATTTGTAAATTGACATTGTGTGGGTATTGTCCCAATGAACAGTGAATTTGGATTTTTCTCCATTATTCAGGCCTCATCTCGAGTAGAGAAGTTTATACTGACTCCAACTTTTGCTTTTTCTTTAAGCAGCATTTCCATGTGCTACGGCGACTTTCGGCAGATGACAGGCAGTCTGCGGATCAAATTTCAGAAACCATTTGCCTAAAGCATTTGCTCAAAAATGTCTGAAGTAGAAATCATATTTGTCAGGAGGGGAAAAAAAGAGATCAGGACTGAGGGAAGTAAAGGGTATGTGGAAGATGCGGGAGAAACAACTGCACGCTAACGCGGGAGAATCTTGGAGCCAAAGTGATGTTATTGTCATGGCAAGATTTAACAGCCTGGGGAGGGACTGTAACTGGTAATGAAACCTGGGCAGCGTTCTTCCCTGCTTGGTTGGTAGTTTCTTGGTGTTGGCTACGGTCTCTGTCAGGGCTAGAGAAAATTTTAGAAAATCAAATGCTTGGGATGTATTATTTCTAGGAGTTGATTTGTATTTGACAGATGTACTGAAATAAGTTAGAAAGTTGTACTAGTACCTTCCAAAAGGAATGCTTTTCTTCAGATGTTAAAAGGCTGTGCAGGTGGAGCTCCTGGTCCCGTAACTGGTCTTTGCTGGCAAACTGTAAATCCCACGGAACTGGCTGCAAAAATGGAACTGAAATACAGGTGTTTCAGCTGTTTGTCTAAATGCTAATGCAGTATGGAGATATCGGGGCAAAAGGAGTTAATTTTGGCAGAGTTGTATGCAACAGAAATATCCTTTTCGAGGAAGTTTTTCCTTATGAATTTCTTAAGCAATGTGACATTTGTATGACACTTGGCAGTATTTTCACTGTTACGCAGCATTAAGAAGTCTTACAGTGCAAAGATGTGAAGGATTATATGAAATGTATTTGGAGTATATTTTGCTTGAATGTATTTTAAATTAAATGTTAGTATTTATACAAAGTACTTAGTAAAAATCAGTTAATTGTTACAATAAGAAAACTAAAGAGAGGGAAGAAATAGCAGTACTTTATTTTAAAGTGCTTTAAGTTAACCTCGAAAAAAGGGTATTATTCACTTAATGAAAATTTTCTATGAGGATAGATTGTGTTTCCAGCAAGAATGCTTTTTTTGTATGTATGTGAAAAAAAAAAAAAAAAGAAAGGAAGTGAGTTGATGTATGCGACTCGTAGAAACGGCATCATTCTGATTAGTTTTGTCTTAAGTCATGAGTTTCCAAATTTGATGCTTACTTAAACTAGAAAACCTTTAGAAATCTCAGGCTTTTTTTAAACAAGAATGCCAAATGTGTTAGTGTAATACAATACCTTAATAAAAGGCCCAATTTTAAGGAAGAATTTCCTGTTTCTAATAGGGCAGAGTGGAGACTCAAATATATGCATTTTGTTAATGTGAACACCACTTAAGGTCTTTGATAATGCTTTGATATTGAATTTTAAAGAGGTCTGACTCTAAAGTTTTTAAAAGTACTTAACCTTGAACAAGCTAACTGGTTTTTAAAAGCAAATGAAACAATCCTGCTTGAGCACATTTCTGTTGTATCATCAGTTAAAACTGGGAGAAAGATTAATGATAGATATCCATCTTGAGATTATTCGTATACATTTGAGCCATAATAACAAAAGTATAACTTGGAGCAGATTTTTTTTTTTTATAAAGCAATATGCTGCTTTGTGCCATGCTTTGGGAAGAAAAACTACAGGTTTGTGTATACTTTCAATTCAGTATAAATTTGTAGGTAAGTACATGTTACAACTGTCTGTTTTTCTTTTTAGGGCTCATGTAATCAAAGGAGTTTCTTTGTTGTGTGTATCTTTTCAGAACACAACAGGAATTCAAAATGAATCAGGTGAGTATAAATGTAAGACTTTATCAAAATACTTAGATGTTAGAACAGTTAATTATTAATAAGAAAAGTAAATCATCCACTAAAAAAGAAATGTTCTTTAAAATCTTCAGTGTCATTAAATTTCATAATCCTCCTTTCCCCAATGTGTGTGCTTCTGAGATATATTTTATTTCATGGATTTAAGGGGTTTTTTTTGTGTGTGAATTCCCTTTAGCAGCATGGAAGTTATTACTGCTGGCACCTCTTATAAGAACACTTCTCCAGAAAAATCTGTTTCATCCTGAGGCTTTCGGTAATAATTCAGCTCCTTTTAAAAGTGGCTTGAAAATTGAAGGCCTCTATTTTTTTCTTTAACCTTTTTTAACCACTTTACCATTTCGAATGTGCAGGGAACAGTCCGTCACAGAAACTGATTGATCAGGAAGTTTCACACTTTTCTGGAACCTTACGTGTTTCCTCTGGAATGAAGTGAAAAGACTGGGAAAGCACATTTCTTTTGTGATGCGGTGCTCTACTGTATGGATGCAAGAATGTCCTGCTGGAGGGTGTTGGTTTAATCAGTGCCGAGTGTACATGATTTTATTTTGCATTTGTCTATCCAAGTAGGAGTTATACATCTGTTTGTCTGTAACACAGAATTATATTACTTAAAGATACTTATAGGAAAAGTACATGTTGCCTTAAATTTTTCTCGTAAGTACTTCTCCCTTTGGATGATCTTACACAGTCCAGTTGTGGGAATGTGAATATGGGATATTATGCTGAAGAAATGCCATTTTTAATTTGCTAAAAGAGTCATCTATTAACAGAAGCTTTCTCAGCCAGAAACAACCACAGTACACAGTCATGTAAAATGCTTTGTATACTTTTTTTATTGATGCCTGTATCTAATGAGTGCTTTTATTGACCTTTATGCACTTGTTTGATCAGCAGCAGCATCGAATACAATTAGCACTTTGCTGAAGCATATTCTCACTGAAGTTATAGAAGTATATACAGAAGTAATTACACTGTGAAATGGGTTGGTAGGATGTTTCCCGTTGCCTTTTTCCTCTGATTTAAAGTAAAAAATCTTCAATATATATGTGTGGATTTAAAAAGTAAAAAGCAAAATATAATTTCTATCAGAGCCCTGAAATACATATTGTAAAAATACATATTTGTATTATATCCATACACAAATACAAATTATCATATATACAATACAAATAGCATTTGCATTAGCACACTTTGAAGCATTAGTAGTCTAGTTTGGGGTAGCTAGATTAACTATTGCTTCACAATTTATTTCTATTGAGACTTGAATTTTTTTGATCTGTAAGGTTTGTTTTGAATGCACTCAGTGGCACGAGGCAAACAGCCTATTGCTGTGTCTGCTTGAGTAATAACCCTGCTTTTTCAGTCTTTCTGAGAAGCTTTAGATTCTGCTAAAATTCTGAAAGCTGTAGATTCTAATCTTTAATTGTTATATTTGGCTGTTTCCTTCCCATTTGTGTGTCCGTGTCCCCTCTTGGTGTCTGTTGTCATGTTCCCCCACCCCCAGTCTGTTTCTAGAGTTAAGATTTCTGTGCTGTACCGAAACAAAGTCTTCATCTTTCTTACTAGGACGGCTAATACCATTTATGCAGTGCTGTGATACGTGACATCTTACAATTAATGAGATGGCCCTGCCTCTGGGAATAGTTACATAGCTTCGAGTCTTTCTTGGTGTTTCTGGCTTTCACATTTAGTTTCTGAAGTGTGCAGAGCTCATATGGCTTTTTATTGTTCAATTACCATTCATATTAAGTGTGTATATAGCATCAACCCTGTGGTGTTTTTTCTTGCAGTGCCCTTGTCATTTCATTCACTGTTGACAAGTTGTAGTGCCAGGTCTGTATAAGAAATGTTTTTGCCTGATGCCAAACATCTTTCAAGTGTTCTGTTCTCATGTTTCTTTCATTCTGCTTATCTCTGCTTTTGGTGCGACTTCAGTGACCCTGAAACTAATTGGGTTATTGTTAATTTGGCTTATATGAAAAGACTTCTAGTTTTATTGTTTATCCCATAGAAATCTTGAAGCAGTGAAGGAAAACCTTTTCATAAATACTTTGATACGGCCTTCTGGTAGTGAGGAGGAGGATTGAAAGAAAAAAAAAAAAAGAAGCAGCTGTTGTTGGAATTAATATTTTTGGGTTTCTTGGAAGATTGCTGTCTCAGGATAGACAGTATGCATTCTCTATCTGCTTTAAAAAGAGATCTTCCTTTAATATGTAAACTACTTCATCAGAATACGCTGAATAATTTATTTAAAAAAACAAGGAGGCACGAGGTTTTGATTGGTAGCATTTACTGCATCTCAGTCTGCGTTAAGATGGAGTAGGAAGAAGGTTGGTGCTACCTGGAAAACTGCATGGGCAGTTATTTAAAAAAATGGTAAGGCACATGTTAACAAGGTACACCTGCACTTGTAGTAAAACTCCCACCCCTCATTCCCTCTGAATTTTTCAATGATTATTTCAAATATTTCTGATATATCTTTAATTTTCAAGCGCACGCAGTGAAATTGTGGCAGTGAAACTAGGGCAAAGAGGGGCAGCTGGATAAGGTTCTTGGACAAGTAGAGCCCTTTCTGCTTCCAAATTGCCTTTTTTGTGCTAGCTGCTGTTTGTGTCAGCAATCTCCCTTAGTCACTTCATCTCCTTTTCACAACTACCTCTAATTTCTATTCCCTGTCCCTCTCTCTTCAGTGGCATCCTTTCCTTTATCTTTTCATTTATCTTAATCCTATTTAACCCCAAACATGACACTAACCGAATGTTTGCCATTCATCACATTGTTCAGGATGATTTTTTTCCCTTTCACTCTAATCTGTGATCATCTGTAAGCATCTTGTTGCAGGTACTGTTTCTATTCTGCTTAAATACTGCTTGTAACTTTATAGTCTAATTTGTTGTTGGTCCATAGGTACAATTATATTGAAAGTGGTGTGAAAAATTGCTCAATCAGTGTGTTGAAAGGTACTGTCAAAGTGATTTGACTCTGAATTCAGTGCAAACAGGAAAAGATAGTTGCAGCTAAGGCAGCCCTTCAGCCCTCAAATGATTTTTGGGCGTAGCTCTTAAGTCACTTCACCCTGGCTAATTTGAATGCTAGCGATGTAATATTTCTGATGAACTTCAGAGTAAGAAGCTTAAGAGTGAAATAACCTTCAAGTGCTTTTGTATTCAAAATTGCAGTCTTGGAGTGAATGAAAAACACCACATTAGGACTTCAGTTAAATGCAAAAGTTGGCTGTAGGACATGCACCAGTACGCTATCCTTATCAAGAGGTGATTTTTTTAAAAACAGAAAAATAAATTTAAATGCAGTTGTTAAGTGTTGGTGGAAGAGTGATTGAAATATAGTATTTCTTCTTTTGGTAGACAGACGTTCCTTGGGGACAGGTTGTGATCTGGAAAATGTTTTAAGGAGCTACATTTAAATTGCAAATAAAATGAGATTGCACTGATTTGACTGAACTAAATTGTTGTTTATTTTACTGTTTAGTATTTGGTTACTTATTACCATTCGTTTGAGGTGTGAAAGGTATTGTTATGTACTAGGCCATATCCAGTTCTCTGGTACTTGTGAAATCCATTAATATGACAGGGGTGGAATGAGTCTGAGTGCTGTGTTCTCTGAATGTAGCTGCTAGTCTTTGATTTTTGTAGGTAGATGCAAAATAAAGTTCTGATTGTGCATTACTCCATACAAATAAACTTCTTAAATGATAGAACAGTTTTGGGGTATTTATGGCTAAAAGGAGGTGTGAGGTGTAACTTAAGGAATATGCCAGACACATCAGAGGATATGACAGTGCTGTACGCTTCTGTCTAAATCAGTTGAGTCTGATTTTTGGTAGGTTAAAATTTATTTGCAGGCTTGAGATTTTTAACTGTGTAGCTATGTTTGTAAAAAAACAAAACAAAAATCCCACCAAACACTTGTAAAAAAAACAAAACAAAACAAAAATCCCACCAAACATGTCTGACTAAACCAAACCCCCAAGTGAAGCCCAACCAAAAAACCACCCCACTTTTGTTAGCTTGAAACTTGAAGCGCGTGGTTCTGGTAGCTGTCTTGTTGACTCTCTGTAGTCCCCCTCATCTGTACCTATATATAATCTGTTAGAAATCACTGTGAAAAATAGGCTTGGTTCTCCCCTAATGAAATTGTGGGGTAATGTGCTGGAAAGATATCTAGTTTCTTTGTTTGATATGCTGAGAAGAGCATGTTTCTTTTTTGTCTGAGACACGGCTTCTTGCGTATCAGTTCAAGGCTAAGAGATGTCTGAAAATCAGACTTCTTCATCACTGTTTTTCCTTTTGCATTGTTGGAAGAGCAAAATAAAGCCGTCCTCCGCTTTGAATAGATTTCAGCTATTATAACTAAAGAATAAGGACTTATTTTTTTTCTCCCTCTGTGGTCTCTTCAGTCTCCTGGATGGGAATGGATTTCTGGCATTCTATTCCTTCTATGGTTTACAATTTGGGGGTCTTTCGCCCCTACAAATAGCTCTCTAGGATGTGTCTGTGCAGCTGTTAGGGCTTACCAAGGCAGCAATAGAATAACCTTGCTATGACTCCAGTTTTATCATTTTTCTCATTGTTGCTGTTTAAACTGGCAGAAGACACATTCTTGTAACTTAACTCAGCAACTCACATTCATAAATACAGAGAATAATCGCCACACGCAGCACCCTCATAAAGAGTGGGTGCTAACTAGAAAAGGTTGAGAAGGTTTATCTGTTTTGCTTTAGAGATAAAAATCATAAATTTGTTAGCATATAGGGATGTGTTTTAAAATCTATTTCCAGTAAACTTGCAGCATAATACATTTCATAAGTGCTCAGTGAAAAATGCTCCGAGTATTACTCAGTATATGAAAACTACTATTGTATCTCTGCTTTATGGATATATGTGAAAGCAAGAACTATTGCCAGAAAGTTGGGGTTTACTTGAACAACTCTAGTTTTGCCCAAGTTGTTGTTATTTCTCAGTTTAATGCTTCCTAAAGCTTGTTTAGTGCTTCAGTATAACATCTTTCGTATTGGAGTAGTTACTGCCATCACCGCCAGTGTTTGTTTCTGACCAGAATGATCAAAGTTCAATGTCAGAGGGCAGGTACCTTTTTTAGGGGTGTTGCACATGGTTCAATATATGCCTAGTTCTCACCAAGCACAATTCTTTCCGAATGTGGACAGATTTTATGGAAAACTGTGCATGCTTGTAACTGAAATTCTGGTCATTTTTCTCAGGAATAATGTTTTGTTGATTATAATTAGGTAATAAGGAGTGAGTTGTTTAATGGCAAATGTGAGTAGCATGTACTGTTGCATTATAAAAATAATACTATTAATAATATTATAAGCAGCCTATTGAACCTTGTAGGCTCCTTAAAATGGATGTAATCGCTTACAAGACATTCATAAATAATTTATTAGCTTTCTATTGCCTTTCAAACTTTAATATAAAATTAACTTAAAACCTTTGTATTAAAACCTGCTGGCTAAGGATTCTGAGCTGTTGGTTAATTTAGGAATTATGATTACCACTTAGGATAGTGAAATAATAACTTTTATGACATTATTTAAAACCCTTTAGTCTCTCTAAAATCTGCTTTTAGCTTATTCTATTTGTTGCTGATCAGTAAACTTGACATGCAGGTACTTTAATGTTGATATTTGGAGTGAAATGGCATGTTTGGAGGTTGCAAATAGAGCTGTAGAAAGACAACAATAGACGCAGTAGTAGCTCTGTGAAGTACGTTCAAACACAAGCTGCTCTGCCTTAGGGGTGATAGCACATTGCCAGTCTCCGGTATGTGCAGGGTACTTTGTCTCTATCCACCTAACATTCTGTACTGGGAAGTGCAGGATATATGGCACAATAGATGGTGTATCCCAAGTGCAGTTCTAGTATATACATTGGAGTAGTTTACTGCAATATCCTCGATTCAATAGGTAGAACAAATAACTTTTCATTTTTGTGACCTGTATACACTTCTCGGAACTTTGTGGTTTTCTCCTTTAGTTACTGTTTCGTCATTCTCGCAAGGGATTCGTTTTCGTGTAAGGCAATACCAGAAAGATTTTTTGGGGCACTGATTAGATTGCGTATGCCTAGAAGTCATTGTTTGAAAAGGGGAACTAAAGAATTGCTAATATATGTGAAATGATCCTCGGTGTGGTGGGTAGCTGATGGTCTGGCTTTGCGCTGTATTTCCAAAGTCATCACCTCTGTGTTTCTAGGCAAGTTATTCCTGTTACTGAAGCTTTACGTCATTCTTTCCTTTATACACAGAGGTGTACACAGTTGTTTCATTTGGAACTTTTATGTGCTTGTTTAGGAGATGATTGCCAAAATTGAAATGGAAAGCTGCATGAGCAGACCTGGACCCTCAGACCATAAATGCTCTGGAGCTGGAACTGCCCTTTGTTTTTGAAACTGAGATGTCCTTATACTCTAAGCTGACATACCCGTTAGCTTTCATTATGAACACGTAGTACAAAACAAGGGTATACACAGAAAAATTGCAGTATATCTGAGTTTTCACTTAAAAGAATTGAAGGATTCTTTAAAAAAAATATGGAAAATTGAAAATGCCTAGAATTGTGTGTTGACTACAAATATTTTTAGAACTTAACAACTTTTAGCATTTAATTTTCTACTTCTCTATTAATAGGCATGCCTTTAGTAGTTAAATATTTTTTTTTCTTTGCTATTGATCACCACTGTTTTTTATGGACAGCTGTTTATGTTAAGTCAAACAGAAAATGAAACCGATGGTTGTTAAAACATAAATATTTTTCCAGTCATCCTTTTCATTAATGCTGGCAATGGTGATAAAGATGAGCTACATGCCACACATGTGAAGCCGATCCAATCAAGCCTGTATGATTTTACTAACCTCTGCTGAAATTTACTTTCTGAGGGTCATACTGCAGAAACTGCTTTGCTGAATCAAGCAGGTTTGTTTGATCCACATTTGTTGTACATTTTGAAAGTGAATTTGCAGAAGATGAGTGTCTAGGTGTAAAGAAAAGGTAATGGAATGTAGTTGCTGATGCTTTGGTGCAGAGTCAGTTTGCATTATACCTGTTTTAGGGGCTTTTACCATTTTATTCTTTGTAGGAAACCCAGAATTTTAAAAAGTTGTCAATAGGATGGTTATGAAATAAAATGAAAAAACCTCCTCCTCTTCCTGTGTTCTGGCTGTTGTGCTGCATACTGATTTAACCGGTGTATTTTAGCATAGCAGTTCACTTGCCTCTCATTACTTTAATTGCCAGTAACATGTTTCAACAGTATAATTCGGACAAATGATGTGTATGTCCTGAAACACTTCTAACAACTTCTGTCATCTTCTGACTATTCGGTATTCAAAAAGTACACAGCTAACAAAGATTTCTGCTAAAAGAGCTAAATGCTTTCTACTAAACCATGTGTTTCTTTTAAATATACTAGTCTTCCAGAGGCAGTCAGAAACATTTCCTAGCAGAAGAGGTCATGCTTAAGATCTAGTGTACTGCTGAAACATAAAATGATGAAAACTTTTTGTGGCTTATTTTCAGAAAAGATTAGGTCTGAATGTTAGATTAAGTCTGTAGCTGTCTGCAATTCAAAGGGAAAATTAATCTACCTCTTTTACTTTTTAAATTGAGTTAGACTTTCCAGACAGGTTACATAAGAGGTAGTGTGTTTTCATGCTGCACTTTTTTTTTTTTTTTTTTGAAAAATTTGAGTTGTCTAGTTTAAAAATAGAATTAAAGGTATTGTTTGTACTTTTTTTGAAGAAAGTCTCAACATAATAGGCTGGGCAGGTAGATCAACTTCACAGTGTTTATCTGAAATTTGGAAGAACTTTAATCAGAAATGGCACGAAGGAATGTTGTCTCAACAGAATCCAGCAGGTAACAATGCTATTACCAACGTAATTACTTGTTAAATGTAGTTTCTCACGGCATAACTTATCAGTAAAAATAATGCAGCTGAAAACTATTCCATGGATGAGTTTTTAGATTCCCATGTTAATGAACTTAAGACTTCAAAGACTTAAAACTAAGCCTGGACTCATATGAAGACTATATTCTGAAAAATACAGATATTTTCCATGGTACAGAACCACAGTACTTTTCTGTTTGTTCATCTTTAGGAATAATATAGTAGTACTGTCAGGTAAGTCACATTCAGACAGGAAAAGGGAAATACCTTTTGCTCTCTTCTCCAAGTAACTGAAGGGAGAATTTTGAATACGTTTTTAAGGAAAGGCCAGGGAAAATGAATGAAATGGCAAATGGCCTAAGAGATACATGAAACCCCCTTCAGTTAGATTTACTCGATGTATACTGCTTGTAATCAAAACCCATCCATTAACTAAAGCAAGAGAATAATTACAGCAACTTTAGTTATCAGTGTTTTACATATATCTCTAATGTGGTCTTACAACTGTGCATTCAATCATAGACAAGTGTAATGAAAATAATAGCGAAAACTTTAATGTTCTGATAAAAAGATATTCTACATTAGCACGTTGATGAAGGGGACTCTAGTTGAAATGGCAATTTGGAAATTTTACTTTAATTTCAAGTCAGGAGTTCTTGTAGCTCGTACAGGTTGATGATGTGTTGTGCTATTGTTTGTATCTGTTAATGGTCATGGCCCTTCTGGCTTTTTGACTTGTAGAACACAACTGAATCTACTGTCGCTGTGGAGACCTTAGATGATGTACCTGAGCATGTGCTCAGGGGCCTTCCTGAGGACGTGAGGCTCTTCCCATCTGCTGTTGACAAGACACGGCTTGGTGAGTGCTACAACTGTGAAAAGAGAATGAAGACTTTTACACTATCTCACATAAATTACAGTTGCTGTGAAAGCTTGGTGCCCTCCTGCTATGCTGGGTAGAGATGATGTCTGGTGTGTTTATCTGAAATAATTTCTGTTGGAAAGAGTTGACAGCTTCAAGGTTCCTCTAACATCCCAAGGTGATGGTCTTAGAACATCAGAATGGGGGTCAAAGGTGACCAAGATGCAAATAGGTTATAAAAATAGCAATATGTTACTTCATTGGTTTGTTTTCACTTAAAGCATTTTACCAGTTTTGTGTTTTGTAATTATCTTACTGTTGCCTCTTTAGAATGCTGCATCTCACTGTCCACTCAATATAAGAAGTTTAATTTAGCAGAACAGATTCAGCGTAGACTTGAAAGCTGCTATATGGAGCAAAGTGTTGTTTGCAATATGCACAAAATGCTTGGCTTCTGTTTTAACAGAGTTTAAAGTGAGAGAACTTCGATGGAAGTCAGAATTGCAGACTGGATACTTGATGTTGAAAGCTGGTAGTTTGAGGAACAAGCCTGACAATAGATGCGTTACTGTTAGTAACAGGTTATAAGCTCCTTGGAGCAAGGTTAATCTTTTCTAGTATGAACCTGATCTAGCATGGTCTGAATGAGAATGTTATGTTTAATTAGCAATTATTTGACAGTCTGTTCTCAGTTTTCATGCTATAAAATCTGAAGTGCAGCTGTCCATGTTCATTTCGGTTAAATCTTTTCAGTAAATTTGTGGGCAGACGCATGTATTTTAACCAATCCTAAATGGTTTTTCCTTCAAAATATACTATTAATTAGTTTAACAGCTTTTGTGAGGGCTTCATTGCCTGGCATTGTTTCAGAGAAAGCAAATAGGATTTTTGTTTTAATAACATGTTTACTGAGCAAAACAGCTGAAATCTGGGACTTTACAATATAAAACCTGTGATGTTCTTACGGTATTTTGAATATCACCTGAAGGACAAGAAAAATCAAGGTTGTTTTTTGTCTTCAGAGCTACAGTAGCCCATGAGGAAAGAATGAAACCAGGTAAATGCTTAAACCTTTCATGACTGAAATGAGTTTTGGGAAGAGAATTGTTTGAATTCATTTTGATAAACTTCAATTTCCTTATTGTGATCTTAATACTGTAGAATGCTCCCCAGTCTGAGACAGACACACGTAATGATCTTAAATGTGAATTGTGAGTAGAAGGTTTGCTTGGGATCAGTTAAATTAGTTTTAACTAGTGATATGTGTCTCTTCAGGTGTCTGGGCAACAAAATCAATTTTAAAAGGCAAGAAGTTTGGACCATTTGTTGGTGACAAGAAAAAAAGATCTCAAGTTAAGAGCAATGTATACATGTGGGAGGTAAGAAACAGCTTGTAAATGGAAAAAGATATCTGTCACTAGGTCAATATTTTGTATTTAGCCTTTAATTTTTCCAGAGATTTTAGAAATAGACATGATGTGAAATAATTGCTATCTATGTTGATATAATAGATAATTGATATATATTACTATCTAGCATTGCAGTTATTTATAGACATTTGGAATAAGCAACCATTCTGAATTACAAAGCTTTAAACTATTGGCATTGTTTGAAATTGTTTTATTTATTTTCTTATATACGGTCTCTGGATCACACCTTCCCTTAAGATTCTGTTGCTGATAAAGCTTTACTTTGGCTTGAACCCTGAACCAGTTCCCTTCTGCAACTGAGTACTGTCAACTGCTTATGAAATCAGGGAAATGAGGAGGATATGGAGTCTCTTAAGGAAGCCACAGCACTCCTCCTCGTTTAGCTCTTTGAAAACAAGCTTTGTTATGGGAATTGGGTTTCCTTTTGGAGTTTTTATAAAAGTTCTTAACTGTTGCAGTATTTCTTGTGCTGCTTGTGTTTGGGCTTGCCTTAAAGCAAAAACTGTCTGGACAGCTGAATAGTGCTTTAAGCTCCTCTAATAGTCCTAAGACCTTGCATATTATGTAGATTTCAAAATGTAGGTGTCTTAATCTGGAGTTGAATCCTATCTACAGTGTCTTTAAGGCAGTTCATGACTACGTCTGAAGACTTCAGTCTCTCTAAAGACACATACAGCAAATGGCTTTAGCAAAGCCAAATGGTCAAGGAGGGGACGGATGGAGGAACTGTGGCAAAGCATGTTCTGGAACAAGAACTTGCTAGTTTACAGATTTTTGGGCTAAAGATAATGATAGTCATCCTTCTGGCCCCTGGCCTGCAAATACTGAACTGCATAAAACACTGGGTACACATACAAAACTTAACGTTAACGCCTATCAGAGGAATTGATCTAGGACAATTACCCATAAATGCAAATTCACATTCAGGAAAGTAATAAAGTGTTCAAGTATAATGTTTGTTGCATTGAGGTAGTATTATCACGAACTCCACAGCATAAGGTATCTTCCGTTTTGATCTGGTACAAGAACACTTAGTGAGATGGAATCAGTGAAGTAAATTATTGACCTGGCAATTGTTTTTCCTCAGTGCTGGATTTTGAATGTTCTCAGTGGATGTGTCTTAATATTTTTAAAATTTGTGCTGAGAAATGATAACTGCAAACAAGCTGTTAAAGTTTTGTAGTTTGCAATGCAGGCGATAATGGGAACCCTTGCTAGATTTCAAAGTAACTCTGTGTTGCTTTAATACTGATTTTTGGAATTAGAAAAAAGCAGCTAAAATGAGACTGCAATAGTTGGCCCCATATGCTGGTAACTGAAACCACTCCAGAATCTTAACTGTTAGAAAATATGGTTTATAAAAGGATGGTGGTACGTGGGAGTAGTTAGGTATATGGACCTTCAATGAGGAGAGCAACCTTTTCCACAAGAATCTCATTTGTTTCTTTAGTGAAGTTAATCTGAAGAAAAAGTAAGGCTTCTAAAAGCTGGCATCTCCAGTGAATTTTACTGTCATGCTAGAGTTCCATTCTGGAAAAGATGTTTTGTGTGTCAGCGTATGCTTGCCATGTCTGAGGGGAGAAATAAAGGCTTGAACATATTTTCATTTTGTGTCAGAGAAAAGCCCCAGGTAGGAAGATGATGGCAGGTGACGGAGAAGGGAGGGAAATGCTGTCTGCTGATTCAGAATGACTGGCAGAACTGTGCTGAATGATCTTGATCATGGTTTACTGGAATCACTTAAAGTCGCAATGTTATAGAGGAGTGGGAGCTATTTCCTTTCTCGCAGTGCACAAGGCTTTTAAACAAAATTCTGTAAATTAGACACTTGAACTGAAAAGTAATAGAATGTTTTGTGCAGAAAACATAGTAAAGTAATAGAAAACCATAATAAAGTAATATATTTAGAAAGTAATAAAGTATGATGCTTTGCCATATAGTCCATATGTGCCAACTCTTCCACAGCATTGTTCAGCTCTTTTCTTCCATTTTAACCAAAAGGATTGCTTCTACAGTCTTGCTCTGTGAAGCTGTTTGTGCTTTCATGTTGCAAGGGCTGGGTGTGCTGATGAACATTCTTTCAAAAGTCAGCTGATGAAATCCATGCTGGAATAGTTTAAGTGAGGGAGATGTTTTCTGTTTGCTTAGAGAGAAACTAAGATGATTTCGGTACATTTATTGAAACTTTACCTTTATCGATTTCTTTTGTGTTGATATACTGTTGGTTTAATAAAATAGAATTTTATCAGATTTATTAAATGGTTCTTATTTTAAGCTATTGTAGAACTGTACATGAAATTGAAGCTGTAAAACAGTTTGAAAAGACATCGAATTACTTGTAAAGTAAGTATCGGAAATAATAAAAAGCTGCAACATTGTGGAACAGAATGGGAAAGTTATGGTGAAATTGGAATTTTAGTTTATTCCTTATCTGCAGTGGCGCTGAGTCAATGTTGCAGGAGGTAATGAGCTAGGGAGGCTGGCTTTCGAAAAGAGCTTTTCCAGGTAGAGACTGATATTTATAGACTGGACCAAAAGGAAAAAGCAAATAATAAGATATGGTCAAATTGCACATATTTTTCCTTTTTTGTTTTTCTAAAAATCTGTGAGCTGCCCAATAGTTCTGAGACATTGTTTACCAGTTAGTATGTCTGTCTTGTGAGACAAAGTAATGGAAGAATGGTATTCCAGTTGCCGAACAGTGGTGTGTTCTTTGGTTTGGAAAAAAAAAATGTATAGCATACACTGATAGCTCTTCTTGTCGGATTGAACTTGGATTATAGTAGGAAGAGTGGGAGATGCATAACATGTCTTGAACGAGAAGCAGGGTTGCCCGTCATCAGAAAATACGGAAGATGTCAGTAACCTTGCTTTAGTGCAAGCTGTCTTGAAATGTAAAGCAGGTGTAGGTGTTAAAAATTTTTTTCTTCAAAGAATTTACACAGCATCTGGGAACATACAAAAGTTTATTGCCATGGTCAGTTTTTTAAGGTGATCACAAGATTTCGGAAAGGTTAAGGTTTTCTTTAATACCCTGAAAAAAAGATTAAATATAAATTATGCTATCCCTTATCTTTCCAAATAAAGCAAATGCTTCTAAGCAAAACTTTCTATATAACTATATGTAACTATATAACTCCTATATAACTTTTCCTAGTTCATCAGACAGTAAAAATAAAGTTCTGTTGCCTTTATATCTTAAAATCAGCCATTTTACTAAATGCAAAATCTAGAGAATCATTTGAGGCTTGCTAAACTGAAAAGAAAGCATAACATGTTATAAGTGTTTTGGCTTTTGAGCCCAAAACCTTCAGAGAAGGGCTTGCAGGCCAAAAGTTTGTTGGTTTTTTTTCCAATTGTACCTGTTCCACTAAAAAGATTGCAGAAGACCAGCAACACTCCCCTCCAGTACAACCCCTACCGCTGCTCTTACCCTTTGTGTTGTCTCTGTCCTTACATGATAGATACCACTTTGTACAGCTTTCCAATGTGTCGCCTTTTAGTAGTTATCCATTTGCTTAATGCCATTTTTGTCTCATAGGTCTATTACCCAAACTTGGGATGGATGTGTGTTGATGCAACTGATCCAAAGAAAGGGAACTGGCTACGGTATATAAACTGGGCACGTTCAGGAAAGGAGCAAAATCTGTTTCCTCTGGAGATCAACAGGACCATATACTACAAAAGTTTAAAGGTATCAATGTCTGAAGAATCACTTACTCCTCTGTTACCTTCTATCATTAATACCTTTTATTCCCCTTTATCCAAATCCTTTTTTTTTTATTATTTGTATTGAACAGATTTTGAAAAAATTTTTTTATTAAAATATTACAAATGCTACATTTCATTAGTCTAAATTCTTCTGTGCCAATACAGTTGACATTAAGATCTACTGTTAAAATACAGGATACGTAAGAACACTAAGTCTATCTTGTTGGTTAATGATTTGCTGTAGCACCAAATTTGATACCAACTAGAATTAAAAACTATAGCTGATTATGTAAAATAAATGGGTTTTTTTTCTAATTCTAGATACTCAGATACTTTCTACTGAGGATTTTTTGCAGAAATCAGTTATTTTTATGGTCTTTGCATCACATGACAAAGATTGGTTGTCAAAACTTTTATAGGTAGCTTCATGAAACAAATTTTCCTGGTTTTTATACTATTCCAGTTTCATTCAGGGAGTCGGGGGCAGGAAGAAAGGTATAATTTCTGTGGCATTGTATCTCTGAAACCAAGAAAAAAAAAATGGTTTAAGTAATGGTAGAGTATATTAGTGTTAGAATGTTGTGGCTATAAAGTATTATTTGAATCTCTGATCAAGAACCTACTAGAAGTGAGTATATAAAGCTTGACTTTGTTTTTATTTAAAATGCTTTTGTGGCTTTTGGGTATATGCAGTTACATGCCATTGCTGCTTCTTACATTTCCTTGTAAGGCCGACAACATCTGTGAGTAACTGAGTAAATTTATAGGGCAGTATAGCAATATAGCTGTTATATGTTTAAGTCACTCGAACTAGACTGGGACAAAAACCCTGAAACCAAAACCAACCTTCTAAACATTTTCTGGACTTTCTAATAGCTTTGAGATAGCACTCAAGTAGATGTTTGCTATTGCCAGCCAGACTATTGACTTCTCTTCAGTGTTTCTTCGCGGAGGGCGGGTTCCTAGTGTGAATCTGTAGCCAGCTTAGTTTTCCCTGGATGCTTTATCTTGGGTTGCCTCTGCATTTGCCCATAGTCACACTCGTTCATTAACATAAGTGTGCTTTTGGAGTCCCTCTGATTGTTTAAATTTCTCTCTCATTAAATCTTTTCTGCAAAGGTTTTAGTCCTGATAAAGACAAGTGTTCACATATATCAAATTGGTTTTCTGATGGATAATATTGCACTTTGGAAAATAATTGTGCTGCTAAAAGAGGCTGAGCACTGCTGACAGAATAACAAACGTTTTGTCTCAACATCTGAGATATCTTTTTGTTCCTTTGACTGTCTTCTCTTGCAACCTGATGAGTTTTACCCTAGTAGGTCTTGCCAACAAGATGACGCTGCCAAGCAGCTCTTTCTGAAGACTGTTAGAGCAGCCTATAAGGATCGGTTGTATTGGGTTCAAAATATGTCTGGGATTTGATGGTTGGTCTTGATGATCTTAAAGGTCCCTTCCAACCTAGACGATTCTATGATTCGTTGCGGTGTGAGATGGAGTTTGGGATGTGAAGGGGTTCTTCAGAGAGCCACCTTCAGCCGGCTTTATTTGCCCTTGCAGCAACCACTTAGATATGTGCGCGCTGTGGGATTGGTTATTAGCTTCAGTTCAGCGTTGGCAATACCAGTCCCAGGCAAGCTTCTGGAAATTCATGTTGGTGTCTGCGCTGTATGCTCATTGGGGGGAGCGTTACATCTGAAATGGCGTTACCTCCAGGCTGCCTCTGCACGAAGGCTTGCTGCGGTACCGCTTAGAGGCCAGTGTAGAAGCGGCAGCTCTGAGTAGTTTTGGGCTTGGGTCTTGCATGAGGCAGGGTGAGCTGGTAAAACACTACTAAGTTGTTTCTGCCCTGTAGACTTAGTTCCAGGAACACAGTGGGACATGCTCAAACTAGTTCTGCACGCGCCAGGTTGGGCTGGCCGGGTATCAATAATCCCGGCTGCGTGCTGCTCAGAGCTAACCAAACTGTTCCCAGGACCAGGTTGGTCCAAGCAGCGTTGCAGCCACGGCTCCTTGATTGTCACTACATCGGTGACACGGGTAGCTTGGCAGGTAATTTCAGAGGTGGCGGTAGAAATGTCTGAGTAGCTGCACTATGCAGAACTAGGTTATAATGTAAAGTTTAACTTTGCTCCATATTGGGGGGGAAAAAGCTCACAAACCTGTAATAATGAATGTTTGTTAAAAGCGCGTACTCATATTCCAATTATTTTTGAACCATCTATTTCAATATATTTCATTCTCTTCTCCCACCTTTTAGAGAAGAGATATGCAAGGAAAATTCTGATCTTGTTAATCTGTGATGATTTTTGAAATGAAAGCTTGACATGAAATTGGACAGTTTTCCCTAGCATTAAACATTCGGCATTCAGCCAGCATACTGATAAATCAGATCAAGATTTAGAAAGTCATGTTTTGTGTTTGATTGCACAAGTGGACTATTCTTGTAGTTTAATAGGAATATTTTAAATCCGATATTCCGTTTAATTTCTTGTCCATTCCAGGAATACGAAAACCAAAGGAAGGCGTTCAGAAAATTTATTTTATCTAGTGTTTTGTAAACTTATTTTTCATTATTTCAAGTGACAAATTTCTAGTAACCAGGCTTTTTAAATAAAGTTAGTGTGAAGAAATTGGAAGTTAAGCTGCAAGTGGCTGACAGTGTAGGAGAAGTATAATGTAGAAGAGGAGATTTTGAATGTGTGGTCTCAAGGGCAAGTTACAAAATTAAAGCATTTAAATATTGTCTGTTGTATCAGTTTTTACTATCCTATACCTTAGAAACTGCAGGGAAAATTCATACGTTGGAAAAAACATGAGCTGTTTTCTGCTTTCTTTACAAAATACAGTTGCTTATATGTTGGCTTTTTAATTGAAGGTTTGGTTTGTCTCACCTTCTGTATTGGAGATGATGTTGTTCTTTATAGGGTCCGTATCAGTCTCAGATTTACATCACACCTTACTGACAACTGAGACAAAAGAAAGCATGTAATCAATAACATCTTAATAGCCATTCTCTTTCTGCATATAATGTGTTACGGTGTATACACCGCCATTTCAAAACTGTTGTAAATTTACCAGCCCAGGTGTGTATACATAGTTCCTTCCTGATCTTTATCCTGAATCATAAATTTAGGGGAATTCCATTTGGTGATAAATAAACAGCACAGTTTTTATTTACCCCCCAAAAGCGAATTAGAGTGGCTTAGATGTCATTTTGTTTTGCTTTACCTTGAAGCATTTAAAATCGTGTCATAGCTGTTTATTTTTTTCCCAAGGTTTTCTTCAGCTTTTTGTGGGTTTCTAATTTGTAAGTTAAACAGGCTGATTTCCAAGCTTCATTGCTAAGATAAGCAAAGCCTAAATTTGCTTGGTGGAATCAAACCTCAAAACTGCACAGAGCTTTAACTTCCCTGTTCTCAGCTGCAAATGAAAAGTAATAGCATAGAATTTTTAAGTGAGCACAAGCAAATATTTTTCTCTTCCATCTTCTCTTCATCTTTATTGAAGGACTGAGGGTATTTGTAGGCTGCTTTGCATATGCTTTCCCCAGGACGCATATATGAGTTGTGATACTGCGTTGAAACAGCTTAAAGTCATTATGGGGTTTCAGAAGTTCTTCCTGCCTCTCCTGACGAAATGAGCCGGTTGAATAGTGTTAATTCTGCACATAGTGCAGGGCTGGTAATTCTTGAAGAAGTAAAATTGCAGTGAAAACTCAGTTTCAAAAAGTCTTCTAAATAAGCTTGGCTGCAAAACTGTCCTTGATTACGGTGAAATTAATTTGTTTATGGAAGAATGTTTTGTCAAACAGGTTTTTAATAACTCAAGAACCTCCCTGGTACATAGGAATGCAGTTGTTAACGTAGGGCTACGCAGGCTGCAAAATGCACACAGGTACTGATGCCACAAACGGTCCGCTGTGGTCACGTTTGGGGAGATAAGGCCATATCCAGGTGCAAAAGCACAGCATCACAGTAAAATGCAGTGTCTGTGGTGAAAAATAAATATTCTAATAAGGTCAGACAGGCAAGTGCCTATCTCAGTCTGTACAAGACACATTGCAGTGCTTGTATGTGTACAATGCATTGAATTTCAGACAATCTGTGCTAGAACTACCTGGGATATAACTTGTTAGGATGTTACTCTTGAAAATAACAAATTTTGAAATTACCTTTTGAAGGGAAATTATTCAGATTAAGGAATGCTAAATGTTGCAGTTAAAACATAAAGCGCCAAAAAGCATATGGGAGTTATTAACCTAATGAGCCTTCCCAAAATTCATACCTTTTTTTAACCAAGCTCTCCCAACCCCACACTACTACACACACAGCCGATCTGTGGGTAGTGGTTTGGAGGAGGTTGGGTTTTGGAGCTGTTGGTCGAGGATGCCATCAGGAAGAGACGGCCGCGTGTTCCCTAGTGCCAGAGCAGCGGTGGCAGCGGCGTGTGGTCAGCGTGGTCCTTCTGGCTGATGCTGCGAGTGAGGGAAGGTGTTTAATGGTCTGGGTTTGATGCTGCTGCTGCACATTGTTTGAGAAGGACAAAGTTAGAGGGCTTAATTTAGATCCCCAGAGCACTTACACCAAAACTAAATTCATCCCGTTGAAAGTTAGTCCCAGCCATGCGGCTAACAAATGGCACGCTCGTTACCATCCTGTGTTTGCATATCCTACAGTTTTTGGTGGCTCTTTGCTCTCAGTTTGCGCATTGTTCAGCAGATAAGGTGTTTGCATCAGGCAGCTCTTCGTCATCCCTCACTGCTAACCAGCTGCAAAACGGGACCATGCAAATCGGTTCACCACTGTTTATGCTATCAGGCCTCCAGAACGGTTACGGGAGCCAAACCGTAGGCTTTGCTTATATTATAACTTAAACACTTACCATAGTTGTTGGGATCTTGCATCTCTTGTTGATCCAGCGTCTGGGGGTATAAAGATAACCATCACCTTCATCCAGTGCTGGGAGACCCACCAAAAAAAAAAAAAAAAAAAGTGCTTTAGAAGAAACAAATATTACTATTGTTCTTGGTATAAAAATTCCTTTTGGCTTCAGACTTTAAATAATAGTGTAAAGTGCTGTAACGTAATGACTCTAAAAATAGCATCTTAGCTCCACGAGCCCAAGGGTCATTAAGCCCTGGAAAGAGGGGGGTTGTAATTAAGGTAAAAGCAGGCATTTCAGTTCATTTTTCTTGGTTTTGGGTAGAACGCTTCAGGCAATGGAGAGAGAACGATGAAGACTTAAAAAATAGATACAAATACATCTTTAGTCTGCAAACTTGGGGACTTAATAGTGTGAGTCTGGTGGTGGTTTCAGGAGCGTGTGAAGTTCCCAGAGACGCTGGAGTTGGTGGCTTTGGTGGCAGCGCTGGGCAGGGCAGCGGTAACTGCGGTGGTGCCCACTTGGCTCATTTGGTCTTTCCTCTGTGTTTTTTCTTTTTCGTTGGATAAAAAAAAAAATAAAAAAAAAATAGAAAGAATAGATTTGGAATGGCAAACAGATCTTTCATTATTGTTTCATTATTGTGATTAAGTGGATCTGTTAAACATGCAGCAATTATCTGTTTTCCTCTGTATTCCCTTTAACTCCCTGCGCTGGTCTTTTCCTGCATCTTTGGATTTTTTTGCCAAATTCCAGCTGTGTCGGGCGGCTGTAGAGGGGGTGTGGGGCAGT